AAGATAAATAGGATGATTAAGATTATTTCGATAACTTTATGATTATTATTTTATTATTGTAATGCATTTATTATTTGAAATGCAAATAATTTACTACTTATTTTACTTAATATATTTCAGTAACTGTTTAAATTAGCATATTTATAAAATTCTTAAATTAATTTTAACGGGCTATAAAAAGCGTTATATATGTAAAAGTTGAATCAGAAGGGAAAAAAAGCCAACATTAAATTTCAAATTCTGTGGCAAAAAAAACCTATTTTGGCATAGATATTTGAATGAAACTATATGGATTTGCTAGCGATCAGACATTTTCCTTGAAAATTCCTCTGCAGGTCTCTTTTATTAAAAAAATAGTTTTTCCAAAAAAAACTTTTTTTGTTTTGTTTCTGAAGAAAAGAGACCCAGAATTTTATTCAAACATACTCCAAACTAATGTTGCTTTCTTGCCTAAATTTAAATATAAAATTGATTTCTTTGATTTGATTCTTTAGTACGCAAAGAAGTTATTTACATTTCTAACACTCGAAGAAAAATCTTCTGAAATGGAGTTACTTTGAATTTGATTTGTACTTTCGACATAACATCACCAGACAAAGTGTTCTAACATTGCACCTTGATAACAATTTAATATAAAAATTCTATGAATATTTTTTCCTTTTTTACCGCAGGCTACAAAATCATGAATAAAGAAGAACGTGAAACAGCTAGAAAACTAATAAAAAACAGAACTTCGTCAAAAGTACAAAATATGTAAATATTATCTTTGAAATGCAAAATCTTAAGAATGAAGCGTTGCTACTCGTCGAAAGTAAACAGCGTTCTCAGAAACTGGAGTTTTATAGGGAGTAACATTATGGTTATTTTTACAAAAGAAAAGAAGAAAAAAAAAGGGAGCTGTGTACAAAATAAGAAGTCAACAAAATTTCTCTACTCGAGAGAAGGAATAAAAGTCAGTTAAAATGTCCTATCAAAATATTGTATATTACAGGAATATGTTAAATGGAATATGCAATTCATTTCCTGTTCGTACAGAACTATGAAGAAAATGAAAGGAACTGTAAATGATTTCAGCTTTTTTTCGTCGTATTTTAACACAAAACTTATTTACGATTTCACACTATCTGCTCAGTTCTCTCAAAGAATCAAATTTTAAAATTATTTATAACATATTAACACTTCAAATAAACAAATTAACTTGAGGGATAACAATATTATGAAACTTCTCTCTCTTTCTTTTAAAAAACTGTTACTACTTTACATTTTTCTCCGAAAGATGCGATATAATATATAACAATGAGATGTAATACTGTTGCGTATGTACGGGTTCTTAACAGATTAAATGGACAAGTTCGATGAAAAGTTAATAAAATTTACTCTTATCACAAGAAACAAAATGCTGAAATTTTTCCTCACAGATATTCGCACAATATTACAATATCACACAGTAGTTATATTTTGAACTACTAAAACGGTAAATAGGACACAATTCAAAGTGCAAAGAAAGATAATCCGATCTCACTGAGAATTCGTTACAATGAACAACAAGAACGAAGTAAACAACTAGAACTGAGATGTTATTCTCCGTCTTTTATAAGCTTTTTAATCAGTCACGAGAAGCTTCTCGTAATTTATATTTTCTCGAGTTTTCTGGAAAGCAAAAAGAGTACAAATACGTGATATCTATTAAAATGTTAAATGCGCGTGCTTCTGTATTTTTACTTTTCCGGCGTAGGTATGTCTTAAAGCTCGTCACGCGCTTTATTGCACGGGGAAATTAAACAATATTAATTACAATTTTACTAGAAATAGCAAATAGAATACAAAATCCGTAACAGTACATAAAGTTCTGTCATGATTGATACCAAATTTTATAAAACTGTATTTATTATATTTAGTTACTTGTAAGTGCTAAAAGATAAAACGTATATATTGCAATATAAGCCTAAAATTAACTTTTTAATAACTGCTATGCTTGTAACATGTTAGTTTATAAAAAATACTTTAACTGTACTTATAAACTGGTAGTTGAAAGATAGCGTGAGAGTTTCATTCACAGAGTGAAGATCCAAAGAATATAATGGTCACCGCATTAATTCAATGCACTCACTTTCGGTATACTTTCTCATAAAATCTTCTCTGTGTTGAAAATACCCGCACTCTGTGGGATAAATAAGTACTGAAACGATTCTTTGATTTTTACTGGAAAGATTTGTTGAAAGCATTAGAGGACCTGGTTCCGGTGTTTTCCAGGCATCACAGTATCTCCTGCTAACATGTACAGGTCATTACACGGGTCCAACGAAAACCCAGGTTATGGTATCGCAATACTACACCTGAAGACGTAGTTTCTAGAGAAGTAACTACTTGGTTACTCCGAGAAGTAACTACTTTACTTACTTACTTGTGTCTTCCAAAAGAAAATTTTAATGCTCTATTTAAAACTTTGGTTTTTCTGTGAAGCTTTTGTTGGGCCCTGTGTTCTGATTCAAATATAAGTTCACGACACCTTAATATGTTCTTTTGACTTTCGACCAGACAAACGGCATGTTGCCTTCACAACACACTGGGAGAGTCGTCACTCGTCACACATGCTGCCTTCACAACACACTGGGAAAATTGGATCATTTGTATTAATACAAAGCGCTCTAGAAATATTTGCGTGTGGAAATGGATGTCTTACCCGAGGCTGTGATAATAGACGTTCGGACTGTTTATACTTAAAGCTTATGTTTGGTCAATAATTCTATGCAGAGTTACCGTATGACTTGTAACCACTAAATGCCTTCACAAGTGCTCTTGCTAACTCTGTGCTCATTAGGAAATTTTTACCAGCAAGAAATGCCGAAATTAATCCACATAATAAAAATCAATCACTCCGTAATGCACATACCATATGCTTTTATTTTCAAAATCTTGCCATCGGTAAGAAGTATCTAGACATCATGTTCCACACACAATAAAACGAATTTAATTAAAATTATATTTTAAAAGTTTAACAAAGGTCTTCTCTGAAGATTAAAATCTTTAAACGGAAACTCATCTTTTATGTCGTTAGGTTCGTATTGCATATTTGAGAAAGCCAACTAATAATTTTTACTATGTGATCTGATAACTGCAAATCTCACTTGATTCTGTCATACTTAGTGGTTATATTGGCCATCCAGTAGGATATATTTTCCTCTATTGTTACCAGTTCCTTCAAGAAGTCCCATAAATGACTTTTGATGAAATCTAAATGAGTTCAAAAGAACGATCTAAAAGAAGAAAAGAAGGAAAGAAAACACTTTTACATTTCGAAGAAAACACAAGGTGTAACTCCTTGCAATAGCATGATGCTATCTTTCGTCGAGAAGATAGATGCTTGCAACTGTCGAGAGAAGAGAAGGGGCGGAAGGGCATCTGGGCGGCGTCATGTGGAACTCACGTTTATTCATTATTCGTTGATTTAGCAGAAATTAATTTTTTTCCAAATAGACTATTTCTAACAGGGAGAGAGCTTCAGTTTCTGCGTAAGAGATTTCAGGGTCCTGAATTTTGAAGATAACTCTGTAAATTTTTATGGAACATTTTCTTAGTCTTCTCAGCGAAATATCCGTCACTTGCTTTGAAGATAGTTCTTTCTGCACTGCTGCAAGAGGAATTACAAACTGGATTTTCCTGTTCTTAGAAGTAGCACGAATGGTATCGTCAATCTTGTCTGGAGGTGGTATCTTCTTTTAGGAAGAACTGGGTGCTTCGGAATAAAAGACATACTCTTTGAATTTACATTGCGTTCTCGAAATTTACATTACAAGGATTTACATCTGACACAAGTCGTTTCTCAACCTTTAGGAAGTTGACAAGCTTAAGTCAAGTTCCCTGCACTGCACTTGAGGCATCTGGCCTTTGTTATTGCAAAACGTTTGCTCATGTCCATATCGTTGATATAAGAAACACATCATAGGGCGATTACGTATTTGTAGCGCATAATCTTCCTTTGTAGTCGTAAAATACACTTGAGAGAATAACTACTTCTGTCTGAGTCAGTACAACTTAACGATACCAAAAAGACATGAAGTTTTGTTTCTTGCTATATTCTTTTTGTGGACTGTTGATTTTCAGCTTGAGATAACACTCGTGTTTAAGTTTCGTCAGTGTACCTTCTTCCTCTGTGTCAGCATGGAGATCTTTGATGAGGATTTTACACATCTCACAAGAAATGATCCCAAGGTATTTTACTACACGTTTGAACTACCGTAACATTACTGAAAACGTCACTGCTAATAGTCTGCTCAAAAGCAAGTATTCACTAATCCCTTTGTGACGTTATTCCTCTCATTGCTGTACGTCAAGTGACATCATTGAACTGGAGCTTTGGAAAGCACTTAACTTTGTTTGTCCACTGAACTAGAATAATAGGAATCACTTTGAAAACATTTAAAATTGGGTAACTAATGCCACACATTTTATTTTTGATGGTACGATGATTAACGTTTTTGATATAAGTTGCTGTCTTGCTATGTGACAGCAGGCTTGATTTATCTTTAAAAACACTATTGCAAAAATTGGCATTTCATTATTTATTTTATAGCTGAAAATTCTCTGATTTTTAAATAACTATTGAAATTTATGGTTTTATTGGATGGATGTTCATCGAAGATCATGACACAAAATCTCAGAACCTATCCTGTCTTTTACCCTAAGCATTTTCAACATGATTGTTTAAGAGACATTTAATTTTGATAAAAACGCTATCGATTTCAGGTAAAAATATTTTGCTCTTGAAAACGGATAGATATTTAATCCAAATCTGCCCCAAACTGAAGCTGCCTTTTTTACCTAGTATTATTTTTTACATTGTCGTGATTCCCTTCCATTTGAATATAATTGTTCATCATAAAAATCCATATTCTAAAATGGGTTATGGGCATCCTGTACATAGTAGTTAACGCTACTACCAATAGTTTAGAAAATTTATCACTAACAGATCTTAAATTCAGGAAAAATATAATACCTACATTTCCTTTACTAATGATGAAAAATGTGTCACCAGTTACTCCTTCTCGTATTATGTATTCTCCGGATGGAAAAAAGTCCTAATAAAAGAAAAGAGGAATCATTATATTTGAATCTGCATGATATTGCCAAATACAATTACAAGCTTTCGATCACATGTTTGATACAGCAAGTCTAAGTTAAGCAGTAAATGAAAACAAAAAACATGCATAGACATTTTCAATCCATTACCGAAGAAAAAAGAATTGAAATTATTTATATAGCAATATTTTCTAGCAATCCCTTCGCCATTCCGAAATCCACTATCTTTTTTGCCACCACACTAACTGTAAATAACATTTGAACATATATAGACGAAGTAAATATACCCATGTATATGTACTGCTGTACACAAAATTTGAATTTATCTTCTAAATCAGAAATAAACATTCATGATTTAAAAAGCAGGCTCATATGCAATATAATAAGCATCGTGCGACGCTTAAAATGCTAAAACATGTTTCCGGAATGTAATATTTACATTGTTTATGTAAATGTAAAAATTGTTTAAATTATCAAGTAATAACTAATTAGTACCTCAGCATAAAATTAATAACTATCATTTTATTATTTGATATCCGAGGTAATGTTTAGCTTAAAAATCAGGAGCTAATCTGTTAATAATAGTATTTTATGTATGATATTTTGCGATTCATTCATTGCTTCTTCAAATGCTGAAAGCCTATCCGCAAGCCTTTAGGTAGCATTTTTATCAAAAACGATTGCACCTAAAACTGTAAAAAAAAAAAAAAAAAAAAAAAAAAAAAAAAAAAAAAAAAAAAAAAATCTGAAATGTTTCAGATTTTAAATTACGTCCAAAGGGGCGTTTTTTAACATTTTGTGTGTTACTTTCTTTATTAAATATCATGTTCCTCGCACTTAAACCATAAGATCCAGTGCAACAGCAATATCGCAAAATAGTTTTAAAACGAGCATATCTTTAGAATTTCCGATACAGAGACTCACGCGCTGGAGATAAAAATGTTTTTTCTGCACAACGTTGCCATTGCTCGCTTTGAAATCCTTGAGTTTGTTAATCAAAAATTCGTCAAAGTTTTAAAAAAAAGGAAATCGATCATAAAACAAATTTCAAATTTCAAATTTGGTCTTCCACATGCTCATATTCGTTGGAGGATTACGTTATTCAAAATTCGATGACTCTATGTACCGTTATTTTATGACAATGTGAGAAATATACATACATTTACGCAGATTTTCATTATTTAATTTCTTCAAATATAATGCAGGACTCTAACATTTTATGGCAACAGTTTGAAAAGTGAACCGACATTTATCCGTCCGACGCAAAATGCCAAAACGAAACTAATAGTCCTTCGGGATTCAAATCCCTTTGGACTAAAAAGAAACAAGAATTTAAGTTGTAATGTATGCAATCATCATCTTTTAAATACACATGTCTTTCTGATACTTACGTAATAGGTACCTTAGAAAAAAAAAAAAAAAAAAAAAAAAAAACCGCTAAATTTTCAAAATGTGCCAAAATCTGGCAACCGTCATTAAGACAGTTCTTCAGTTTTTAACGGCAGTATCGCTATTAAATACATTATAATAAATTATTTATATTCGCTATACGTATTCGTACGTATGTATATTCAAAGTTCAACGATGGCTTTGCACATGGTTGCTAGAGTTTGGGACATTTCCGAAAATCTGGCAACTTCTGCTAAGATGATTGCGTTTATACGTAGGGTACTAAAGTTATAGGTGACTCTAACTGCCAAACCGCAAAACCCGGGTTCGAATCCCGGAGAAAGACATGGATATAAAATTTCCTGTCCCTTCATAGGAAGTAAGTGTAGCCACTTATTTGGTACCTCCATAATAAAATGATCTTATTAGTGGCCTTACTAGTGACCTTAGTTCTAATGACCTCCTGGCCTTACTAGCCACCAAAACTTAAAATGGATAATTCCCTTAAATTTAATAAGATTTCATTATATAAATTAACCTCTATTAGTAGTTTTACATATTTATAATTTCATTAGCTTAATATTATTCTTAAAAAAGTCCTTTTAATTTGAAAATTTACTTGTGGTTATTGCTTTCACAAACAAACAAAACAAATCCCTTTGAATTTAAAAAATGACATATTGTAATTGTTTTCATAAAAACAAATTCTTTTCAAAAACATAATGAAATGTTGAGAGACTTGTAGCAAAGTAGAAAATGAAATAATAATCACTGTTTCTTTCGGTATATTAGGATTCTTATCATGTTTTCACGAAGAAAATGATGCATTAGAATTTTTATTTTTATTAATTCGGTCTCTAAACTGGAAGATCAGAAAATATTGCATATTGCAAAAATTCAAAATGTTACAAAATATTAAATTAGGTAGAATTCGAGCTTCGAAGGTGTTGATTTTTAAAGCCAACACTAATTCAAGATTAATGTTTGATTTAATTTTCTTTACCTTTGGAGAGTATTTATGCATATTCTAGGGCGTACAATTATTAGGAAATTAAAATTTCATTTTAAAAATTTCAGAAAGTAAGTACATTATTCTCAGCGAAATGCTTCAGAGTCCTTATCTAATACGACTTTTGAAATTCTGAGTAAATTAAACATGTCTTTATAAAACTCTTTAATCTAAATATTTGTGATATCTACTGAAATAAAGAATCGATAAATCAATAAAGTAATTTTTATAAATTTTCGAAACAGTAATTCGCTTTTGTTCTGTAATATCCACAATTATTTTCAGCAGACACTTTAAAAATTTAATTCAAGGCCATGCAAATATTATGAAAATGTGTTCTGTTACTATTATTTCTCCTTCTTTAATTCAAACACCACAGCTACTGAGATGTTAGCAATATTAAAATGTTATATGTTAACTTTCGAAAAAATTCGTAAGGAAAAGTGTGCTTTATTAAATTTAATGATTTTAAAGTTCACATATTTATCATCATTTGTTACATAAAAAACAAGCAGCTCCTATGATAACCAAAGTAAGCTGAAAAGATTTTTCACAGTAATAGTTCATACTCTGATCACGAAAAGACAGCGTCAGTGATTGATATAGAAAACGCTATCAGATTTTCCGAAACTAATTCCAATTCAGTCTTTGTTGTCTTTCAAGATGTTTGAAAAAAACCAAAAATCGATCTTCCGTAAAAGTGTCAAATTCTGTAAAATAGACATAGTAACTTTTCGCATTTCGAATCATTTAAAAGGTTAGGTTAGGTTATTTAATTACGGCAAAACCTCGAGGGCTACTTGTCTAAAGGGGGGATGCCTTCGTGGAGGACTTTCTAAGGGAAACTGGCTCGTATACACGTTACACATGGGGAAAACCACGAGAGCGCCCATGCGGCCAGCCCGTTGGCGGATTCGAGCCTGGGACCAAACTACCAGTGTTCAGCAACTTTACCGCTCGGCCGCTGGTGGGCCCGAATAATTTAAAAGGCTAGCCACTTTTGCCGTCAGCCACCTAAAATAGTCTCGGTGAACGGGCTGGCTGCATGGGCGATTTCGCAGTTTTCCCATGTGTAACTTGTATACGAGATAGTTTTCCTTAGGAATTCCTCAAGCATCCCTCCCCTTAGGCATCCCTCATTCCTTAGGCATCCCTCCCCTTAGGCAGATAGCCCTCGTATACTCTGCTGTAATTAAATGAAGCAAACCAAACCCAGATGTAAAAGGACTAATTGTATGAATGACTTTATTGGTTTTCCGTATTTGCAACGTGAATAGGAGCTGATTACCTTCAGAAAGACCTCCACGAAGATCCTCCTCCTTTTGGAAGCTTAGTTATAGCTCTCATGTGCTTTGTCATATTCATATAATCTAAACATATTCTTTTAACTTACTTAGTTGTATAATAGCAGGCAGATTAAATTTGAAGGAATATTTTATAATCTACTCACCGTCTTTTACTAAATGTAACTTGTGGTGATTCCTCAATAACGCTGTAAGCGACTTATTGCAATGTCTAAAAATGAAAACAGAAGCGTAAGAAGAGTGTGAAAGACCCTTTTATTTAAGACGAAGTAGACTGAACAGAAGGCGCAACTGATGCTTAAAAATCAGAGAGCTATTCTGGAGAGAACTTAAAGTGGAATTTAAAATTTAAAACTAAGGTTAAGTATCTATTAGCCAAAGGCTACGTGAGATAATTTTACCTCGAAAGCGGGTTTTAAAGCTTAGACCGATCTGAAAGTACTATCGGCAAGAATAAAGCAATCCTAAAGACGGGAACACTTATCTTAGGATGACAAACTAGTAACGTGGCCTTCAGCAGGCAGAACACGCTCTCTCGAAACAATCTTAAGCTCTCACTTAAATACGTGTGAATTATTTTGTATTCGAGCAAGAAAACGGAAAGGAAAAAGTAGCAGTACAGGATCAGAATATAAACTAGCAGGTTAATTACCATAAATAAACCTTACACATGAATGAAATTCCAATTCAAAATTCGGGCAAGTGCATATGTTTGGAGGGAGAAGAACTGTGTGCGTTCAAAATCTGGTAGCTGTAGATACAGTTGTTTATCCCCAGTAAGAAGAACAATGATGCTTACGTACAAGACAGATTCTTCGTTATTTAATAATAGAAATGATAGAATTTTCCTATGAGTAGCTGACTTTCAGATCCCATAGCCGGTTAAAACCTTTCAAAGGATAAAATTAGAGAATGTGTTTCAAGTATAAATTGCACCTTTTAAAGAGTGCATCATTTATGACCTTCACCAGCATAGAATTTCAGGTATGGCCGTAACATACGGTTTTGTTGTCATTTTAAATGTGTGCAGTGAAATAAAATGCTTATGCAGTGAAATAAAATCTGCTGTATTCTCTCAGTGACTTCACTCTAAGTTTGGTAGCATTTTGATTAATCAAACTTTATCATAGCTGACGTTTCTATGGGGCCATTTAAAAGCTCAAATTTTAGTATACGTTTTACCTAATATTACGAACGCTATTAAAAATGCAATTCCTCAAGATTTTTTAGCTTGGAGTGGATTATGATAAAGTACACGAGGGTGTGTGTGATTATGGAAAATCCTCGAGAGCTATCT